CTCTGGTATAATGAATTCAGGATATAATAGACAAATAAGTGGCAAGAAACGGTACCTGTCCTTGTTTCTGAAATTTTTTCCTTTCCATCCACCTTCTCTCAAATCATCGTTGTTTCGGTCACGTCCACCATAGCGCTGACCTCCTCCTTCGTAACCGCCTCGACCACCGCGTCTCATGCCAGCGTCTCGATCATGACGATCGTCTTTCTAAAAGCCAGCACTCGGCGACGTGGTCCGACGTGGCTGCATCCACCAGTGATGCAACTGAGACCAAACCACAACATTATTTTCTAGAAGTGTACCGCTTGCGCCGCAAGCTACGACTATTGACATTGAAGTATAGTCCTCATCATTACGTACTGTCGGGGCGGTTCAGTGCGGCTGCGTTTGGCGCGGTGCCAAAGTCGTTCTGCACCAGTTGTTGAAGCGGGCAAGTGACATTACTGTATTATATCCTTCGTATTACTCGTTTTCTACCACTTTTTGTCGCATACGCGTTTCAACAAAAAGGCTGAGAACGGCTTCAACAGTGTGCACACTCATACTGGCTGACACGCCCCACCGGTCCGCAATGATGAGGACTGTATTTATGATAAAAAAATGGGTAATAGTGATTTAAATGGGTTCAATCAACTATATAAGGAACAGCAGGAAGCCCCGGATTCAGCGAATTCGACATAAATGCCAACTGAGGCTAGCCTGAGCATCATCCATAGCATTAACCTGGTGCACTTCAGCTTTGTGGGGAACCGTCTCCGAATGACTCACAGCTAAGCTTGGACAAACCATCTTGTGAACGCCTGTGAACTCCTGTGACCAAAGCGGGTCACGCGCACAATTTCGTAGCTTCACAAGGATTTACAGGCTTCAGCAAAGAGAGGGCTGTGATCGCACAAGAACTAACAAAATGAATCAGCGAAAATGTAATGTAATGTCCCGGGGCCGCAACATCTTCCTTTTGCGCATATAGTTCTCCGCAGCGAGCATTGCCTGAAACCCAGCTTTTTCTCTGGCGCGATTTCCTCAGAAACTATACAGCTATACAAAGGCATAATAGGGGAAGCGTTCCGTATCTAATACGATCTTCCATGAGAAAAACTTTAAAAGACTTTCAAATAATACAATGGGATTCTTGAGTTTCATTTGGTTGCAGCTACTCGTGTTTTGTTGTTGAACGAGACTCTTCATGATTGTATCTGACAACGATTCGAGCCTTAAGCCCTTCTTCAGGTCTACAGTATATATCCAGGAACGGGTTCTTCCCGTGGGCAAGGATGATGTCGTCTGACACCCTCCAAGTCACCACATGTATGGTATGCTGACTTGGAGGGTATCAGACGACATTCTTCCCTTCCCACCACCGATCCAGTTGCTTCATTTCTACAATAGTGGACAGCTAGATAGGCGAGTCCTCATATTCTTTAACCCCGCCCCTTCCGTGTCCATCCCATAGCTTTTGCAACGATTCACGCGTTTCCCGGGAAGAACCCGTTCCCCTGGACCAAAACCATTTGCCTAAACAGTCGGTCAATTGCCAATGATTCGCATTTCCGATAGTTTCTAGTTCACTTCAGCTAGAACTGATGCTTAAGTGTGATTTCGGTAGATATTATATTGTATATATTGTAGGCCTGAAGAAGGGCTTAAGGCCCGAAACGTTGCCAAATAAATATCTTGAAGAGTTTCATTCAACAAGAAAACACGAAGAAAACTACTGATTGCTTAAGTATCCTCCATACTGCTCATATGATGAAACGCATGGATCCATTGAGACTCGATGACTTGAGCGATTCATTCGCGCGACTTGGGTACCGCTGGAATGGCGCACTTTGGGAACTCACTACTAGATCGTGCTCAACCGCTAATCGTTGGACCGCTGCGCCTGCTCATTCAACTGCATTCAGAAGAACGTCTTCCAACCGTTTGCGATCCAACGATTAGCAGTAGAGCGCGGCTTGTCGCACTCCTAAATTCCTAGATCGGAGTGAATGGAGAAGTGTGAACACAGTTTGAGGGTTGACTGGAGAAGATTAGTTTCCAAAGTAATATTAGAGGAGAACAAAAGAAAAAAAAACGATACAAGAACAACTCTGAAATCGGGTACCCTCTGATATCGATCCTTCTCATCCCAACTACGCTGGCGGTAGTCGTCGCGTTTTCTGTCATTTCCACGGTTCCATCCACCTCGGTTACCTCTATTGTTGTCACGATATCGATCATATTTTCCACTATCGCGGTCATCTCTTCGTGGTCTCCTGAAGCAGAGAAAGGAAACTAGAAACACCTCGAAAATTAAGCTTTTCAACGAATTTCCTGGAAAACCCATAATAATTTCTGATTAATTAATTTTTTTTGTTATTCGCCTCCTACTACTGCTAACTTTCGCCGCACTACATATCATTACGGATTCCGAAAAAGAGAAACAGACAATTTTCGAGTCGATGCTTTCGCACCGCTCGCGTCCCCGGTCATGTAAGTATTGCACTAGCGTATCTATGCGAGTTGTTGAAGTAAGAGATCTGGCATTAATTCGGCGTGCTCGAACGATTAGAAATGGGATTAATCATTCGAATGGTGTGACGAGCCAACTCGTACGCGAAGGCTGCGGCGTTGCGGGCCACGCCCATTACCGCGGCGACCTACGACACAATGTCTAAATACTTTCCGCAAAGCATGACGCCCGGAATGGGTTCGCGCCATGGCCATAATAAGCAGTCTGCCCATAAATTAGCATCCCTATAGACTCAGATGAGGCGGAGTGACAAAAGGCGCACTTACCACTCACGCGGTCCTGGGTCTAAATCTCGGGTCGACTAACGCCCCAGCCAACGAAGTTACCTTCCTGGAACGGTAAACTGGTACCAGATTCATCTGGGAGGATAGGAACACTGACTTGTACCTCGGCTGGCACCTGATAAGTCATTGTATAGGCCACATCGCATTCGACTACTCCTGAAGGGAAGTAAAATGCGTGCTGCGTCTCACAAAAGGATTGATCAATGGTAAACACTATCCTTTATTTATAGAAACAATCACTGAGCGGTACTTTACAGACCCTTACTATTGGTCTCACAGTTTCTTAGCTAGTAAGGTTCTTAATCGAGTGTGAGAGGCTCTACCATGTTGCGACAACGCGCGCAACTAGTGTATCTAACTAGCTGACTTGACATACTGCAGCGAACCCTTGTTAAATCAATGAGGTCCCGGTGCGAACGCTGCGCACGTAACGCTGCTTGCGAAGATCTCTTCACGACTTGGACATAACGCCCCACGCCCATATTTAGCACTACTAGAAACTAATTGAGATAGGAGTTACGAGTGAACTGCTGCGTTTTGAACGACTAGGAAACTATGGGTATCGATCTAGCTAACACAACAATAAGGCAGCGCTTAGGCGCACGTAAGCATATAGCAGCGGTGTGAGCGACTAGGCATATAAAGGTATCAATCTAGTGTTTTGAGAGTTCTGCGGGTAGTTTTGAACTTTTCGCGGTCAATCGGTGAAAACGCTCGCGTACGCTACATCGATATCTACACCTTCCTAGTCGCTCAAAACGCTGACAGGAAGTATGAACGCACTCTAAGTTTACTTTATTTCTAGAAAAAAGCGTAGTACTGAACCAAGTGCAGAAGTTCAACGTTGTTGCCCATATAAATTTTAAAATAGACAATTTAAAAAAAAGGTATTTATGTCACTCACTTGCTCGACCCTTCGTGATCATCACTATCAGGGTACTTTTTTGATTTTCGGCTATCATCGCTGTCACTGTATTTCTTCGGTTGTCGACTATCATCTGATCGATCATCACCCCTCCGGGATCTTTCTGAGCGTTCTTCGCGGCGATCATCACTTCTTCGTCTCTCTGATTTTTCCTCTTTTCGGTCCTTTCGGTCGTCTGATCTTTTGCTATCACTCTCGTCCCGCCTTCGCTTGTCTGACTTTTCCTCTTTTCGATCCTTTCGATCTTCCGATCTTTTGCTGTCATTTTTGTCAGAACCACTACGATCAGATTTTTCTTTCTTCTTTTCCCTTCCTTCAGACGATTCTGATTTCTCTGAGTCCTTCTCACGAGATGACTTCGATTTCTCTGAGCCCTTTTCTCGATACGAATCCGTTTTCTTCGAATCTTTTTCTGAATACGATTCCATTTCCTCTGAATCCTTTTCTCGAGACGAATCCAATTTTTCTGAGTTCCTTTCTGGTGACATTTCCGATTCTTCCAGTTCTTTTCCTTCGAA